AACATCTATTTTTTTCCCTGTAAATGTGCTTCTCAAGCTTTCATTTTGCAAACCACACATCTGGTCATCTTTCTTTTTTGTTGTGTCTAAAAGCAGCCATATGTCATCAGCAACCCTCTCATGTATATTGAACTTCCTTAGCACATCAGCTTGTCTCTTTGAATGTGTTACCTGATGTCTTTAAAGTGGCAAAACAGAGAGAAGTGGGTCCTCCTAGTCTTTGTTCGTCAGACAAGTAAGAGTGAGGGATATGGCAGAGACAGGAATATGGTATTTATGGCCTTGTTCTGTATCTATTCTATCTTTGCTTTTTAATTTCTCCTTGCCTTAGTTCAACTGGCAGAATATGCCTCAAATCAGTTCTACGCTATCCAGCAGTTAAGTATAGCTGTCTTTTATTGATAGGGAGGAACCAGGGCTACTGAGTTCTGCTGTGGTTTTTGTTAGATCTTCCACAGCAACTGTGGTTCTCCAGCTCAATCTGTATGTCCAGGTGCCTTATTAGGTGTTCACAGGTTTTAATATGAGTGGCCTTCTCTGGGAATTAACAGAGGTATAACAGCAGCCTTTCTGATGAGAATGTAGGCATAAGTGCTTGAGAACCATTACAATGTGTCTGGCAGCATGTATGTAAATAACAGAGAAGGATAATTTTTCTAAAAGATCTAGATTGAATGGGTAAGCTTTAATTAAAATTTGAAAAGCTTTTGGTACAGGAGATACATTCAATCTTTTCTAAAAATATGCTTAGTAATCTTGGTTCTGTGGTACTCTATGTGAAGAACCCTCTTCTCCTTCACCATTTAGAGTGGCATTGCATAAGTTAAGACATTAAAAAGGTTTTAGTGTGATGAGATGGATGATATCTTAGGTAAATAGGACCATAATTTAAATGTAGCCCTGCCAGTGCATAGTCTGTCAGGGGAATGGGCCCACAGCATTTTCTGTGTTGAAAACTCTGGAATGCAAGGGCTTTTTCTGCTTCCTAAAAGAGTTGCAATCTCACAGAAAAGCAGAAGTGCACAAATTTTGGAGCTCAGTTCATTGTTTGAACTTGGCTTGATCATCCGTGACAGAGGACTGAGTGTCTTGTGGCACTGCTATTTGACCATCCAGTAGCATTGAAGAGTTCATGAGATACCCATGGTTACCTTGGCAATAAAGTGATGAGACAGTCTCAGTAGAATGGGAATTTTTAGAGGTGGTGAGATTTTCAAAGCTCTTTCTTTTTTTATGACTGTTAACTCATTTGTTACTGAGATTAACATTTAAACAGACAATTAAGGGATGCTTTTAATAGGCTGAGAAAAGTTAAAGGATGTCAGTGTATTCTTTAATCCTGCCTTTTGAAACAATCCCTAGCATTTTGTACTCATTATGCTTTTAAAGGGTGAATAATTTAGATTCTCCTTATTAGAAACTCCTCTCTATGTTCCTTTCTCTGAATATAGCTTTCTAAATAAGAAAATAAACTAATCTTATATGAAATCCTATAACCTATACATCTGTCTGAGTAAAATTATTGCCTACATATATATATATACTCCCAAGTCTACTACCAAATCCAAGTGTGTTGGGCATAATTGTCATTCAATTTATTGGAAGCAAATTGACAACATTTACACAGAAAAAAAAAAATAAAACCAGTTCAAGTTACACAGGACAATGCTGAAAAGCCATCATTAAACATCTTGAAATCCTGCCTTCACATTTGCCACGCATTTGGCAGGGTCTGGGTCATGAAATCCCAACCGTTAGATGCTCAGAGCACAAGGAGCCCTGTGGCACCCTTCCTCAGTACATACCTGTGCATCTAAGGCTGTAATGGCACTGGCCTGCAAGAGATTTGCAAAGCAGGTAAAGCTCTTAGTTCATCTCAGGTAGTTAGGTGGTGATGAAGTGATTCACCATCTCTGCAACCATACTAGAACACGTATTCCTACCAGAAAGTTCAGCCACTGCAGGGGTAACTGGACTTACATCTCCAGGCATCCAGCAGTGTACAGACTAAATTATAACTTTTACTAAGATAATATGGAAACCGACAACAAATTATTACTTGTGGTCTTTTTCCAGTTTTTAAGTGCAAACATACCAAAGTTTATTTTAAATCCGAACCAGTCAGACATTTAGTAATATAGATCAAAGCAGAAATGAAGGCCTCCCATGCTTATTATTTCAATATGATGTCTGTTCTAATAAAGTGTAAGAATGCCTGTGATAGACTAACTAGTAGGAATTTTCTGGTTCTGTAGTTTAGCCTTAAATATATACATGTATTTGTAAATTAACCAGAAACACATTGTGGTGGTTTCAGTTCCTCGGAAAGCTGATTGTTTTCAATCCTTTCTTTAATCTTAGAAATATGGTGGCAGTCTGCCAGCACACTTTCAGATAAACAGTCCACTTCACATTTAAAAGCTGTAGAATCACTGATATTGAAGGGGGGAAAAATCAACAGAAAACAACACCAGTTCTCTCTCTCTCTCTTCCCCAAAATGTAGAACATTATTTAAATAAAGTTAGAGTTGTTGTGCTATTGTCCCTCACTCTTAATTAGAAATAATAAAAGCCATC